TTTTCGTATTCGGCACTCATTTGAGCATTAGGAAAGTGGACTGGTTTTGGTTCCTATGAAACATTTTACGAAGCTTTCAGCGGCAGTTTTCAAATGGTATGGATGGCAGGCCTTCTTTTCTGCCTTCTGGGGGACTTGACCTGACCTGACCCGACCTACTCGAAAGGCACCAATACATCATCTTTAATCAATGCCAATAGGAAATTCGAAATCAGGTCCCCCCAAAAAATGGCAATCTAGTATTACTAAGCTCTATTACGTCCATACATTTCCGATTACTAGGGGTCATTGGCCTGACTTTGAAGGTCAACCAATGTCCTAATACCCTTATTAACCCTCGCCCGCCCATGGGGGGGGGGGTTGCCACCCCCCAGGTAGTCTTTCTGCTCTGCACTCAACATTTTTAAAGCTCGAAGGCTGATTTTTCGTAGAGCTGCTCCTCTATCCTTTCTTGATGTCCACTGAAAATTTCAAGCTTCTGTGATTTTTGGTTTCGGAGATATGACCTTGTTTTTCAGGTCATGTCATGACCCAAATGGCCAATTCTCAGCATCTTACGTTTGCCATGGGCCTTGTGAGCTTTTGACACCTTGATTTCGGCCTTTTTTGCCAGTCTTACCTCCCACCTATCATGGAACATGTTGTTCGACGATGTACAGGTGTCAAGGTCAGGGTCAAGGTCAACCTAGGTCATCTAAGATAATGGCGTTTTAGGCAAGCTGAATTTACTTTTTGTGAATTTTTTTACTGCATTTTTGGTAAAAGCTTCTCAGCAGATCATGATTTCATGTAATATGGACACAAAAACAATCGGTGCACACATCAGTATACACACAGACACACACAGACATACAAACACATATAACCCGCGCCCCGCTGGGCTATTCAGCCATACGCGCCTTGCTGGGGGGCAGATTCTGCCCCCCCTGTCTAACTTCCGAACCGATGGTCGTAGAAAGACGGGGAAAACGGCAATCGAAAGCTCTCAACAAGGCGGATCTTAAGAGCCCAAATTGTTTTCCTTAAGTAGGTCAGAGGTCAGGTCAAGGTCAGGTCAAGGGTACAAAATGCAAGTTTCTACAGTATCGGCCTTGCACCGTAGTTGCCGAGGAATGGACTGAGACTGATTGCCCAAAACGTGTTCTTAGACTACCAAGACAATATTCGTTGCATACAATGTCATTTAACCCGCGCACCGACGGGGGTCTGCGCCAACTTCGCACCGACGGGGGGGGGGGCGGATGACCCCCCCCCCTGAGATCTCGAGAATGAAGCAAGATAGCGACAAGCGGTAAACGGCATCGGATACGTACGGCCAAGATCTACAATTTTTACAAAGGTCATTTTCAGGTCAGGTCAAAGATGACGTCACAGGGGTCGAAAAAGTCAAAATGGCGGCGCTAGATATGGAGAGAGTTTCTCTCGAATAACTTTCGAATTAGTCAAGATAGGAACAAACTAAGGGCATCATCGTGATCCTCTCGTCAATCCGCATCGAATGATATATATGTTGACCTCGAAAGGTCAAGGTCAAAGGTTGACCTCAGGTCACGTGACCTCGAGGTCATCATGCATATCATTCGATGCGTCTTGACGAGCTGAACACAATGAGACCATCCACGCGTCTGTATCTTGTTCTTGTACGGAGTTATTGGCCAAAAACCTTTGGTGACCTTTGATGACGTCACATGACCTCACAGCTGCCCAACAGCAAAACAGACCTCAAGGTAGTGAAGATTGATCGTATATGAAGTCATTTAAAGTATATGGGGCCATTCCGACCCGTTTTAGTGGTAAAAACAGGGAGTTGATTTTCCCCCCCATTGACTTATAATGGGGAGGTCGCGAAATTGACCTGACCTTAGGTCACCGATATCAAAATTCCGAGATAAACAAATTGTAGCTACTAATGACCTAATAATATCCTGCGACTTTCAAAGGCCACCGACATCTACTGTAGCTCTGGCACGGTGAAAAAGTTGCAAAAAAGTGACTTGAGGTTGGGTCATTCAAAGTGACCTGGTGACCTGACAACACGCGCAGTGGAAGGGTTGCGAGTACTACGCCCAGTGGAAGGGGGGGGGGGGCGGATGGCGCCCCCCCCCTAAGATCTCAGCTCCCAATGGAGCTAGGGAGACGAAATTTGGAGGGTAGGTGGGGGCCCTGGAGAACTCTGTTGTGTGTGAATTTCATGACCCTAGGTCAATATCTTCAAGGTCAAATGAGGTCAAATGTGGTCAAATCTGCCATATGAGCGACTTTTTTGCGTTTACACGCCGATAACTCAAAAAGTTACCGGCCGATTTCCTTTTTTTTCTTTCACTATACGAAAGAACATACATTTGTGAGTATGTATGGTGAATTTCTAGTTAATCAAACAATAAATATGGCAGTTAGAAGCCTGCTAAGGGTAAGATGTCGCCGGCCGAAGCGGGATCGGCGGACGCGGGAAAAGCGGCAATCACAATTTTGTGTTTACACACTCATAACTCAAGTTTTTACCGGCTGATTTTCAAAATTATTTGACCATAAGATTGCCTGTACATTTCTTAGTCTTTTCGCCAAATTTGACGCGAATCGAATATAATCAGCGGTAAGTAGCGCGATGTAAAGACGGAACCGTCCCGCCCCGGCACAGTCTACAATTCAGGCGGCGCGTAACGGCTAGCGCCGGCCGCCGCGCCGCCGCGGCGGCAGGATGTTTGACTTTACACCGCTATTACTAGAAAAGTTGCGAACCGATTTTCTTATTTTATGCGCGAGAAGATCCGCAATTCAATTTTGGACAGGTAGCCCAAATTTCATAATAATATCATGTTTGCGGCGCGAGTTATTGGCGAAAAACAGGAGGGGTGGGCGAAATCCGCCCCCCTTCCACTGCGCGTGTTAAATTTGAATTTGAAATTTCACCCTACATCAGGTAGGGTTAAATTTGAAAATTAAATTTGCCCTTTTCATCGCTTCCTTATAACATTTATCTTTTTTTATTATAAAGTCATGGATATTTTCCAACCGATGAAATTAATTTATAATTTGAAAAGGCCATGAGTCATGTGAAATAGGTACAAAAACAGAAGCGTAGCTATCACTCCGTTTGAGATGCAAATGTTTTGAAATAAAAATGAAACGCCGTCAAATTTACGCTTGAATTTTATATTCTCGTGAAAAATCGCGAGACTATTAGGGCACCGTTGGTTAAATTGGGCCTGTAGCGCTGAAACATAACATTATTTCCCTGGTGCCTTAATTTCATATCACAAACGGTGGCTATCCGGCAAGGCAAAAGTTGAGATGATTTCAACTTCTTGCCGGACCGGAAAATCTGGCTCTCCGGCCTGCCGGACCGGTCAAAAAAAGTTGCCAGATTTGCCGGTTCACACCAGTTTTCAATTTTCCGGCACGGAATTGGCCATTTTTCCGGCCCGGCAGACGGAATTTTGCCGGTCCGGAATCCGGTGTGAACCCGGCATTAAAAGGTAGGAGGTTCAAACTTGCACACCATGTGTAAAATTGATGAGGTTATAGTCATACCAAATTTCGCGGCGCTACGCGCCGCGGTTTTCCCGCTATTCGCGAAAAACCTCAGGGGGGGCGGATATCCGCCCTCCGTCGGTGCGCGGGTTAAAGGTCAAGGTCAAGGTCAGGTCAGGTCAGGTCAGGTCACCAAAAACAAAATATAGAAAAGGGCATGTGCGACACATGTTTTATGGGTCATTTTACTCATAGAATTCAATAGGCACACTCAATAAGTGATATGGACCAACTCTGGATGAATTTCAGGTCGAGGTCAGGTCAAGGTCAGGGCAAGTGGGGTCAAATTTTGAAGTTGGTTGTTAAGGCCTACAAAGGTGTCTATCTGATGCAGTTTTTCATGGAGAATCGAATGGTGCTATTTTTGTTGCCGTACGAGGTGTAGAACTTCCAAAAAAATCATTTTTTTCAAAAATTTTGTGTGTCTTGACGTCATAAATTTTTGAATAACTCCCACATTTTTTAACCGATTCTTCTAAAAATTGGTATGTAGGTGCACATATACCACTCCTCTGACATATATTCCGTTTTTTCGATACACTCAAAAATTTGGATTTTATTATTATTTTCCCAAAAAAGTTGTTTTTTTTTAGAAAAAAATTTGCCAAAATCTAAAATTTTCAAAAAACCGAGATCGCCATTTGATACACACAGTAGAATCACGTATAACCTTTTTGTTACGTCTTGATTCATTTAAAAATGAAGGCGTTAGCGGCGTTTGAAATTTTGCCGTTTTTTGAGGCGAACATGGCGAACATGACGTCACTAAAACGTCAATTTCTCAAAAAAAATCCGACGGATTTCGCTCAAATTTTCAGGGAACGTGTCAAATTGATGTATGATAAAGTTCTGAAAGATTGACCTTGCTGACGTAACGCGTTTAGAAGTTATTGGCGAAAAACGGGAGGGGGCAGATTCTGCCCCCCCAGCGGGGCGCGGGATAACTGACCTTGTCCTAACTTGACCTGAAATGACCTCAGCAGCAAAAATTTGGTCGGGTAGTGTGACAAAGAGGTTCTAGCTGGCTTGGCACCAGAAAACAGCATCGTCATCGGTATATGATAAGCAGCGCACTTGATATCCAACGGTGACCCAAAAGAGCAACATTTTTAAGTTTGACCTGACCTGGAAGGTCAATGACTGACCTGAGAAGGTAAAACTGGGTATCATTGGATTCGTCCCTTCCCAAATAATCTTTTTGGTTTTTACCGCTAAGCTCTATCTCCAACAGGAACGAAATGGCGCGGGGGGTGGCAACCACCCCCCTTCCCCCATGTGCGCTCTAGGATGGGAAAATGGCATGTGCGGGCGAGGGTTAAGGTATCATCAACTTTCTTTTGTAACGGGCAGCACGCTCTTTTTTTCACGAGAAAATCTAGCTAGATCAGAGGCGGAACGGCTCTGGACCCTCCTACCTCACGATCCTCTCGATGATATCAGAAGCTGTGACAAGACCAATACGGGCGGGCTCAATGATACTTCTGCATTTATTAATATCACATGATGACAGCGAAATGACTCACAAGTGTTAGTGCGTCCACTCGATCAGCACACAGCCTTCACAGAGGCGAGATAGTTCAGGGTTCTCGGATCATTTTCCGCCTTAGAAGTCACCAGCGCCGGCGGCAGCGGCGTAGGCGGCGTCCTGGGCAGCCTTGTTGGGGTCCTCGGGAGCCACCGGGATGGCGGCGCCCTCCATCACAACGCCCTCGGGGCCGGCCCGCCAGGTGATGGTGACGGGCACCTCGTTTCCGTCCTCGTCCTTGGCGACGAACGAGTAGGTGCCCTGGCTGACGATGCCGACCTCCTCTCCGATCTGCTCGGGCCGTCCGGACACGTCCTGGGAGCTCTCCTGGCCCTCGCCGGCCGTCTCGTAGCCGTACTGGAAGGAGCCGTCGTCGTTCTGGACCATATCCATGCGGACGATGCCGGCGGCTCGGAGCTCCTCAGCGGGGTCGTAGGCCGGGTCCTGGGGCCGGGCGGCGGCCACGGCCAGCAGGGCGGCAATTACCAGCTGTGGAAATAGTGCACAGATGGTTATTTATGTTAAACAGTGTCATGATTGACCAACATATTGACCGTCTGCTTATCTCATTTGTTGCAAGCAAATGTTGTTGCCCAGGTCCTTACCCCCATCGCTCAATTTTCGGCTCAGTGTTTTTCAACGAATATTTTCCCTTTATTTTATTACCTGAATATTGTAATATACAGATGGTCACCGCGGAGACCACGCTAAGCTAAGCCTGCCGTTTACTGAGCCCCGACACCTACCATACGATCTGGCGAATATATGTAATCGGGAGGTCGTAGTTGCACTCACTAACCACAAGATATCACCGTCAGATACATGTAGCATGTCCACTCTGTTCTCGTTTTTTTTTTTTTTTAATACACACTTCAAAACAATTTTGAAGCAATAATTGGTGTGCGTGTCTGATTTGTACCCGTCTAACTCTCTTTTCAGCAATTCGTTTTCATAGATGTAAGTTACACGTTGCGACACCGTAATCAGTAATAATTTACATGCCAAATGGCGCGTTAATTAAAAGTTAGCCCAATGCCCCACTCAGTTTATCAACTTACCAGCTTCATGTCGATATGTTAGCACGAACTTGCGATGCAGATGCACTGTGCACTCCTGCCGGAGAGGTGGTCTTTTATAGGGGCTATGCGAACCACACGGCGGCCTTCGTAAGCATAATCCGCGCTGCAAAGCCAGACACTAAAGATCCGAAGGCTTTGACGGATGACTAGCTTCTCAATCGGAGCCACTATGCTTTGAAAAATGCCGATTGTATGCTTATGACTACGCGCATTACAGTAAAGTCGTTGCAGAATGCATTTGAAAGCTTAACCCACGAGCCGCTGGGGGGGGGGGGGCATAAAGTTGCCCCCCTTTACGTTTTGTGAAATATCTCCGAAACCTGATGAGCTACGAAAGTGAAACTTGGCATAGCTTCAAATGAATACCTAGGCAATGTTTGAGGAAAGTTTGGTGGTTGTAGCACCTAAGATGACGTCACAGTGACGTCATAAAGTTTTGCCGTTTTCCGATATGGACCATTTCTGATGACGCTGAGCATGAAACTCAACTGTAAATGAACTAGACAGCACCTGCTGTCATCCTAAAACATCTAACTACACTTCCATCTAGTTTCTGACCAATAATCGACCCTTTATATTCGGTCCCATATATCTGATGTATCGTGAGGAATATGAGAGTCGCAAATCTATAATTTCACTTATGACGTCACTGTGACGTCATTTCAAATTAGATCGACACCAAATTTGGACACAACCTCGGCTAGGTATTCAGGAAGATGTGTGCAAAGTTTCGTTTCTCTATCTCTTCGCGTTGCGACGATATCGTCGCAGAAGTAAAGGGGGGGGGCAACTTTATGCCCCCCCCCAGCGGCCGGCGGGTGGCGCGGAGGCCCAGCGGCCGCCGGGTTAACGTATCTAGTACTAACACTGAGGACTACCGAATTGCTCACCGCTACAAAGGTAGAGAATTGTATTCAACTGTGGATTCCAAACACCCACATTATCCTGGCAACTTCCACGGCAAATCAATCAACACCAATGTCACTTTCCAAACACCCATAACAAAAAAGTGAAAACAAAAAACCACAGCCTTATCCCTCGCCCGCACATGCCATTTTCCCATCCTAGAACGCACATGGGGGGGGGGGTGGTTGCCACCCCCCCGCGCCATTTCGTTCCTGTTGGAGATAGAGCTTAGCAGTAAAGACCAAAAAGATTCTTTGGGAAGAGACAAATCCAATGATACCCAGTTTTACCTTCTCAGGTCAGTCATTGACCTTCCAGGTCAGGTCAAACTAAAAAATGTTGCTGTTTTGGGTCACCGTTGGATATCAAGTGCGCTGCTTATCAAATACCGATGACGATGCTGTTTTCTGGTGCCAAGCCAGCTAGAACCTCTTTGTCACACTATCCGACCAGAATTTTGCTGCTGAGGTCATTTCAGGTCATGTTAGGTCAAGGTCAATTATATGTGTTTGTATGTCTGTGTGTGTCTGTGTGTATGCTGATGTGTGCACCGATTGTTTTTGGGTCCATATCACATGAAATCATGATCTGAGAAGCCTTTACCAAAAATGCAGTCAAAAAACTTCACAAAAAGTAAATTCAGCTTGCCTAAAACGCAATTATCTTAGATGACCTAGGTTGACCTTGACCCTGACCTTGACCCCTGTACATCGTCGAACAACATGTTCCATGATAGGTGGGAGGTAAGACTGGCAAAAAAGGCCGAAATCAGGGTGTCAAAAGCTCACAAGGCCCATGGCAAACGCAAGATGTTGAGAATTGGCCATTTGGGTCATGACATGACCTGAAAAACAAGGTCATATCTCCGAAACCAAAAATCACAGAAACTTAAAATTTTCAGTGGACATCAAGAAAGGATAGACGAGCAGCTATACGAAAAATCAGCCTTCTAGCTCTAAAAATGTCGAGTGCAGAGCAGAAAGACTGCCTGGGGGGGGGGGGGGTGGCAACCAGTGTTCGCCACGGGCCGCAAAATCCCAGTCCAGCCCAGCCCAGGCCCATGGGTTCACAGCCCGGCCCAGCCCGAGCCCATTCATGGTAAAAGCGTCACAGCCCAGCCCGGCCAGGCCCGTCAAAACAAATGAATGAAAAATTATTGACACCACACAGGCATCCGAAGGTAGCCAAACAATCTTTTGCGAGCAGCATGCACATTGCACAATGCACATTGCATGCGTGCTTTATTATCTCGTTTTTTAGTCATGTACAGTAATAAGCTATGTAGTTATAGTTCTTGTCTCAGTTGCGAACCACTGACTCCACTTCACAGTTCTTGGCCCAGCCCATCCACAGCCCATCGATCCTTAATATTTGAGGGCCCAGCCCAGCCCGTAGCCCAGCCCAGCCCATAGCCCATTGGGCTGGCCCGGCCCATGGCGAACACTGGTGGCAACCACCCCCCATGTGCGGGCGAGGGTTATAATAAAACTGAATGTATTGCCAAATATACGACAAAAACGCAGTGACTATTTCGGGAGTAGTCAATTATCAATTATCTTGATCCAGTCAGGATTGGTAATGGGCTACGCCCAAAAGAGTACTGCTCAGAACGCTCAGATCAATATCCAGTGCGGTTAGAATTGGTGCCAGCGCCGGCGGCAGCGGCGTAGGCGGCGTCCTGGGCAGCCTTGTTGGGGCCCTCGTGAGCCACCGGGATGGCGGCGCCCTCCATCACAACGCCCTCGGGGCCGGTCCGCCGGTTGATGGTAGCCGGCACCTCGTTTCTCGTCTTTGGCGACGAATGAGTGTGTGCACTGGCTGACGTCTCAGACGGCGTCCTCTCCGATCCTGAAGGATAGTTTGAAGACGTCCTGGAAGCTCTCCGGCCCCTCGCCGGAAGGAGGCGGAGGCAGGTACTGGAAGAAGCCGTCGACGTTCCGGGACGTCTCTATTTGAATTATATCGGCGGCTCGGAGCTCCTCAGAAGGGTCGTTCACTGGGTCCTGGGGCCGGGCGGCGGCCACGGCCAGCAGGGCGGCAATCACCAGCTGTAGAAATAGCGCAAAGATAGTATAGTTATTTATGTAAAAACCGTTGCATTTTTACTGAGCCCATATAAAATGTGATTAGCCCGCGCCCCACTGGGGAGGGGGGCTATTTATAGCCCCCCTCCCGTTTTTCTGCAATAACTTCAAAACCGCTTGACGTATCGACGCCAAACTTTCAGTACCTTAGGCTGCATCAATTTGACACCTTGTGTCAAAATTTGAACTTCGTACCTACTATAGGTCGGCCGGAAATGACGTCAGAGTGACGTCATGGTCGGCCGATTTCGACGCAAAACATTGAACCAAGGCAATCGCTCCCAAGAGCTCAGTTTTTAGGCTAGATCCAATTTCTTTGCATGAGAGGACTCAGAATAGACTGCGCTATCAAACTGCTATCACGGATTTTCGAAATTTTGAAAATTTTGAAAATTTGATATAATAATATCCAAAATTTATATTTTTACATTTTTTTTTTCAAAAAGTTTTTGACTTTTCGAAAAACGGAATATATGTGATAGAACGCATTACTATGACTAACTCTAGCAAGTTTTAGCTAAATATCTTCAAAAATGGCCAAGTTTTACGCATTATTGCAAAAAATTCACAATTATTAATTTTTCAAATCAATTTTTCAGCACGTATTTGACATCGTACGCCAATATAAATAGCACCATCGTGTTCCTGAGCTCAAACTGCATTCAATAGACACCTTTTTTATTGAAAAATTTTAACCCTCGCACGACCAGGCCATTTCTCACAACACGAACGACCAGGGGGGGGGTTGTTACGACCCCCCCCCTGGCGTTTCGAAACGGAAGGTCGTAGAGCTTAGCGGAAAAACCAACGGATTGCTCTCAACGAGATCTCGCGATTGGTGGTATATTTTTTGGTCCTAGGTCAACATTTGACCTACTTATGACCGGTCAAAGGTCAAATTTTCCGAAAAAATCAAACTTTTTCAACTTTCCGCGGCGATTGCGGCAAAACGGTGGAAGATATCGACTTGAAACTTTCACTATCGTGCTCCTTGATCAATTCTCTATCGTTTGGTATGTATTTCGTTTCCCTAGCTCTAAAAATGGCGCGTTGGGAGCGCCGGAAGTCGGCAAGGTCACAGTCGGCGGCAGAAATTCGAAAAATCAAAATTTAAATTTTTGAAATCTGATTGTATTTTTGGATTTGGGAGGTCCATTTGCTCCCTATAGAAGCTAATATTGCTGCATATTCCCATTGAGGTGACAAGAATTAGCAAAATAGTGGTTCGGGCGCTTTTCAAAAATAGTACCGGACGCTGTTCCTCTTGTGACGTCATAGCTCCGTGATCTGACCTGACCCGGTCAATTTTCTTGCACCACACGATAGCCAATGCTTGCCCCAGCATGCATGGGAAGTTTCATCATGACCCATCAAACAATGTGGGTATCACCGGCAGAAAACCTAGGGATTCGGCGCACACGTTTGGTAACTGTCGGCCGGAGGCTGTACCTCTTATGACGTCATAACTCCGTGACCTGACATGACCCGATCAATTTTTTTTCGGCAAAAGATGCGCAAAGGTTGCCCCAGAGGGTATTGAAAATTTCAGCCCGCTACGACAAGCCGTTTAGCGTGCACTTCGAAAAAACCTCAGGGGGGGTTGATACAACCCCCCCCCCCTAGGCGTTCTAGGGTTAACTTCAAAATTTGACCTTTTTTGACCTGAAAGTGACATAACATAAGCTAAATTCGACTCAAAATGACCTCGAATGACACAGACAACATCAAATTCGAAATCTCTGACCTAAATGGACCATAAAACAAGTGTCACGTGACCGACGCATGATATAATATTTTCGTGACCTGTGATGACCTGATCTTGACCTGAAAATCAAAGTACAAGTTTGGTACCCTCAGGGTAACTAGAGCATCTGTTCCAGAGTGTGTGATCCAAAAATGAGCCTGATCTGACTTGTAAGACGGCAGCCAGAGCCCAAACCGTGAATATGCCAAAATGCTAATAATTTTTACTTTGACCTGACCTGTGACGTCATCGGTGACCTCGAGGTCAATGAAATTAGGTTTCGCTCGACAGTTTTTCCGGGGCTATCAGACGCCGTTTGAATTTTGACGATCGGCCCAGTAGTTTCGGAGTTAGGAGGGGGGGCTATGAATACCCCCCCCCCCCCCCAGTAGGGCGTGTTATACGCAGACCCCAGTGGGGCGCGGGTTAGCCCGCGCCAGGCCAGGACCTTTCTTTCATAGCGTGGACGGAAGGGAGAGAAGGGTTATGACGACACCCCTGGCGATTGGCTAATTAATTATTATCCTATGGCACGCAAGCACACACTGTCATGCATTGGTATAAAAAGACGTAGGCAGAGCTGCATGCAACACAAAAAAGCAACAAAAACAAAAACGACGAAATCGAGACGACATCTTCAATGTTTTCATAATTGAATATATGTGAAAACTCCCTTTATTTTCAACGCTACGACTACATCAACTATATGTAGTTAGACGTAGTTAGATGATCTCAGGTTATCAAAACTAAAATAAAAACAGGGATGTGTAGTATTTGGACACTCGGTGATATCAGCAGACATTGCAATATTTAACCGATTTGGTTACAGAGTGGTTGCCTATAACCTTTTACTTAACACTTATTCTTACAGCATGCACCATTGGTGCTAATCTTCATACAGCTTGGCACGTTCAAATGGTAATTTGATACAATACCACACTCGGTCACTTATCCCGGTGGCAGCGGGTTGGTGGCCGGATAACTCCTCGTCGCAAGTCGGAGAACCGAGTTTTTATGTTCAGCAAGCCTAGTAACCAGGGAGCGAGCGAGACATGAAAATGTCAAAAAAATATTTATATTTGGACTAGCCTTAGAAAAAAAAACTCACCAGTTTCATGTCGCTATGTAACCACGGAGCTCGCACTGCAGATGCACTGTGTGCACAGGCGACAAGGAACTCTTTTATATGGGCGTTTAAACCGCAACGGCGTCCTTCAAAGCCTTATCAGCACTACAGAACCAAACCCTAAATATCAAAAGGTCTTGACAGCTAACAAGCTTTTCCGCTGGAGCTGTTGCATTATGGAAAATCCATATTTTATTTAACGGAACTGTTGACGGAGCGAAGCTCAGGTAAATTTTGCGGACCTTCTTATTCTTACTATTCGGTCTCTGACGCCTGACGGTTGGCAAATTTTGCGCCATTTTGGCCAGTTCCTCGCCGTCCAGTGGCCAGATCTTTTGTTTTACATGATTTGAACCCCGGCTATCTAATTCAGGCTCGAGTGGCAAGGCAAGATCAAATGTTCCGTGAAACCGGCTCATGCGACGTCCGGTGGGATGCAAAGCAAGAAGGAAACCCGATAAGGTGCCAGCTAGGCAAGGCCGATGAATTTCGTTACTTACTCACTTGCTGCTGAGACTTGGAGCTGTTTGATTTGCTCTTGTTGAGGGATGATCTTTTACCCGAAAAAGTCCTATGCTTGAAAATATGTGCCTATATCCAAGAGGACAAAAACCTGTACCTTGCGCCAAATTGCACAATAAAAAACGTTTTATATTAGCATTTTCACGACGGGCTATCAGAGGGCTGTTCACGGGCCCTGTGTGCGGTCGGACCGCACACAGCCTCGAAGCTCCGCCCACTGCGTCCCTACGTCAGCCTTCCGTCACCGCACACAGCGATCGCTGTGGCCGGTCGGGACTGGCCACAGCGGACCGTCCACCACACGCAGCCGTGACGTCAGAACCGCCTACCCATCCCCTACCCCCACGCCTGCTGGACGTACCGCACACACCGCACGCAGCAGTGTGCGGTGCCCGTGAACACCCCTCTGACGAATGCACCTAATATGACAAAATCTACAAGGTCTTCTATAAAAAGCTCTTATACAATAAATATCTTCATGCAATGAGTTTATTTCAGTATTTTAATCAAAAATGATGTCTGATAATTTGAACAACTAGATAAATAAGCACATGTGCAACTCCAACTGATAAATTTTTCAGAAAAACACAGACTAATTTGACCAAATCTACACCTAATATGCACCAAATGTGTACTTACCAGATGGCCGTCGTGAAAACGGCTATTGCTTACGCTATTTCACTGTGTATATATGTGGTCTGTAACATATATAAGTGTGCAGTGTGTGTGGATTTCCGCGTAGGGAGTGTGCACGGGGCTGACTAAATACAAAGCGGCCAGTGATATCCCTGCGGGTTTGACAGCCGGTGCTATCCCTCCCCTTCAGTCACTCGCGTCACGCAGTAATGTGCGGGCTAGTTTTTTTTTTAATGACCTCGACTTTCACCTGTGGTAAGACGCGTAAGCGCTTATTTTCATGCTGCTGCATGAAGAGTTTTGAACGACGACGGTGGCTTGCAGCGTGAATAATAAATCGGTTTGACTTCCGTATAGTCCCGTCAGACACGGGCTAATCGGCGAGGGTCATCGACAGGACGCACATCAGCCGAGCGCGCAGGGTGTTTCTTGCGGGAACCCGTGAGATCTGAAGGGCTGATTGGTGTCGAAAGTCGGTATACGCCGGCTGCAAGCGACAGCCGTCTGCACATAGTCAGGGTCAGGAACGTTGTGCGTTACTGAGGAAGATGTCTGTTGCCAAACCAGTTTTGGCCATGTAGTATATAAAGCGTTTTGGAAATCATAATCTGTCAGTAGCCTCAAACAGTGTGGATCTGAAACATGAAACTGGTAAGTTGTGGATTGATCGAACGCTACCAGCGTTTTCAATATGTCCATTTGGCCTTGCCCAGAATCATGATTGGCATAAACTACACATTGCACAGCCCTACTCCTCAAGCATCTTTGAAAGTTTATTATCAAATCACGTACTTACCCGAACGAGTCGATAACATGTCATGCGTTCGCGTTCATCTCTGCAGCTGGTGATTGCCGCCCTGCTGGCCGTGGCCGCAGCCCGGCCCCAGGACCCGGCCTACGACCCCGCTGAGGAGCTCCGAGCCGCCGGCATCGTCCGCATGGAGTCGGTCGAAAACGACGACGGCTCCTTCCAGTACGGCTACGAGACGGCCGGCGAGGGCCAGGAGAGCTCCCAGGACGTGTCCGGACGGCCCGAGCAGATCGGAGAGGAGGTCGGCATCGTCAGCCAGGGAACCTACTCGTTCGTCGCCAAGGACGAGAGCGGAAACGAGGTGCCGGTCACCATCACCTGGCGGGCCGGCCCCGAGGGCGTTGTGATGGAGGGCGCCGCCATCCCGGTGGCTCCCGAGGACCCCAACAAGGCTGCCCAGGACGCCGCATACGCCGCCGCCGCCTCAAACGTTGTGTTGTAAACACATGCAACCAGCTATTTGCACTTGATCAGCGAGCACAATGGTATGCGAGTTGATAAGTGTTTGAATAAATAACCCTGTTTTGCTAAAGACCGTCAAACTTCATAATCGGCTTACCTATGGATGTTGCTCTACATACCTAGGTGTCGTGTTACTGGATAGGAACCTCTGCGCCTTCTCAGTGAATGAATGAGACCAGCTTTCTCATTCAACTGACTTCGATTTGACTTTTATTTGACTGAGCTGAGTGTCCCATGCCGTGCTGGCGTCTGAATTATTCGTGAGATTCAAATAGGGGGCATTTTTACGCCCTTCCCTATGACTCAGCTCATAAGCCACGAAGAGACGCGTTGTATGTAGGCCTTGTTCAAAAGTGCATGGAAAATGATGACAAAAGTATTGCGGCCTTTTTAGGTTAGGTCAAATGTCAGGTCACCTGAGGTTATCGAAGGTCAAATTTCGCATTTTCCACAACTTTTGACAAATTGACGCTAACCTCAGTAACAAATAAAGCTGCAACGCCGTGAAAAAATGCATTTGATAGCTCTCTTCTGCTCCCTCTGAATAATACTCTTAGCTTTGGTAGAAGATCAACGGTTTAGCCTCCAGAGATCAGTACCAAATTGTCCAAATCGACGGCGTTGCATGGAAAGGTAGGGACCAGCACAGCATTCCCTAATTTCAATCCCGGCCCAGGCTGTCAGCGGCAGCTGGCGGTGGTGACGCTGGTGCTGACGGCGGTGCCAGAGGACAGAGATAATATAGCTATCTTTTGACGTTTCTTTCCATTTTGAGCCTTGTAACTTTCAGATTTCAAACATTCACAGTTCACCAGTGCTTGACATAAAAACCAGTAACTGAAACATCATCAGTGAAATAGGAAAAGCATACTCATATATGTTTTTGTATTCATGCCTTTTTATTGTCAAGGTGCAAAATCATGCGACAGGTCCTTACGCTCCACGCGTTGCCAGTCAATGGCAAGTCCACCGGACCAGTCAGAGGTCACAGAGGTCACGCGCAGGGGTCACAGCAGACGGAGGGCGGCCAGCAGCCCGGCGGCCACCAGCAGCAGCGCGCCGCTGGCCTTCTCCGCGGAGGACGCCATCTCCGGGCCGGGAATAAACGGGTCGTCGTAGGCAGCGGCGGAGCCGAGCAGCGCCAGCAGCAGAGTGGCCATCAGCAGCGCACGCCGGTCCAGCATGGTGAGTCGCGGCCCAGCCTGCGGAAAACGGGCAACGGTGTCACAGGGAATCGAGAGGCCGAGGGGGAATCGAGAGGCCGAGAGGGAAACGAGAGGGCGATAGGGAGGCCAGAGGATGAACGGGAAATGAGAGAGCAACTGGCGGATGGATCACCGGAGCTCGTTACATTTGGAAAAAAAGATGGAGAAAAACTTACCTAATTCTCCCGTTCAGGGGTTTGATCGCAGATAACCTTATCAGCGCAGGTAACAGAACGGTGCAGTTGCTGGGGTATGCACAATGTTTCATTTTCAATACATGTTTCAGTTTTTAGTTTGCAGTGGCAACCTAAGTCATTTCTGTAATTTTCTTGGCCATTAAATTGAAGGCTTAACCCGGCACCGCCTGGGCTATTTCCGTAGGGGAGAGTGGGGTAAGATGCCCAGGGTGGGAAAGACGCCCCACCCCCTCTAGCGGCGAAACAAAGAACCGAACCTGGAAATTAATGTTTTTAGCGTAAAGCGGAAGCCTGCCTTATTAACTGCACAAAAATTTGCGGAGCAATTCTGGAATCGTTGTATATTCATCGTCTGAGGCCGCAAATCAACGACATGTCCTCGGCGTATCCACTACGTATCACTGCTTAACTGTGTACTTTTATGTAGCTGTTTCGTTGTGTACGTCATTGTACTTTTAATTGCATTAGGCAGTTTTCTAATTCGAAGCTGAACTCGAACTATTGCATGTGCGTGTGCGATATATTTTATGATCAAAAGTGTGTTTGAATATGTGTCCTGTATCAATTTGAAAAGAGTTTTGTCACTGAAGATGAATCTTGTGATTCGAAACCGGTCTGAATTTAATACATGAATGTCGTGTCATGCCTAACATTAAACTTTATATTACTTTTGATTCCATCAAAAGAAAGACTTTGCGGAGCTCAGTTGGGCAACGGCTGGCTGGTGATTGCATGTATTTTATTTGCTGCTTTCAAAAAATATTTTGGTGTCAAAACATTGTAAATATCAAAGAAGGTAGATAATTTTTGCGTCCCTTGCTATAGTCGTGATAGACATGCGTGTACTATGTCCCAAACAGTTTGTTTCAGGGTGTAGTTTTATGGCTAACAAATTGTACTGATTTAATGTTACTTCGGTACCTTGGGGTAAGATGCTCCATGTCCTGATGTGGAAAGACGCCCCCCTAAATCCGTAGGCTGTCCTTCAAGCAGCCCGTCAAATCATTTATTACATACTTGTGATGAGAGACAAAAGCCGATCAGGGACTATTGAGAGTCCAGTACGGTCGGGTGCTCCCCATGCCGGTCTCTCGGCCCACACAGCGACTTTTGGGCGGTACCTGACTCTGAGAGCCCTCACGACGGCCTCTGTGGGCCCCATTATTGGCTCCAGGGCCCCTCACGACATCCTTTGAGGGCTCCCACGTTGGCTCCACGTGCCGCCCTGGCATCTGAGGTCCCCACGATGAGCTCGAGGGCCCTCAAGCATCATGAAGACCTATAAGGGCCCCACAGTGGTCTCCGAACGCCACCACAGAGGCTTGTTTGGCCGCGCTGGACTATGATGGCCCTAACGATGACCTCTGAAGCCCCTTACGACTACTTATGAGGGCCCTTACGATGACGTTTGGTGTCTACTGCAGGCTCGAAGGGACTACTCATTCGTTCAGGCGATTCACGTGCCCATTTATGTCACTTATAGTGCAGGGGGCATCTTCCCCAACGCCAGGGGGCGTCTTTCCCACCCTGTGGGGTAAGATGCCCCCTTTCACTTCTTCAGGAAAATGCTAAATAGCAAAAAAAGTTATCATATTTCAGGCACGAAAGTGTGATATTTTTTGAAAAAAATGATGTCAGCTTCCGTTGAAACTCCAAGTTTTTGCTTTCCGATCGTCATTTTCGAATAATATATGACATAGTAAAACCCTGGGCATCTTTCCCCACTCTCCCCTACCCACGACAGCCTGGGGGGTCGGATCCGAACCCCCCCCCCCCTGTTATCTCGAGAACCAATGGTCGCATCGAGTCCCGCGAGGCGGCGTTCGGGGTCAAGGTCAGGTCAAAGGTCAAATTCTAGGGTTTTGCATGATTAGGCTTACGGACAGCGGAATCGATGCTGCTCGAAACTCACCAAAAATGACCTCAAAGACCCAGTGAAGGCACCATGTGCGTATAGGGGTCATACTAAGTACGGGTCAAGGTCAGGTCAGGTCACGAAAGGTCACGGTTTTCACTTTCTACTACATGGGCGTGCGACACATGTTTTATGGCTCATTTTTTTCACGCCGAATCTGATGGTAATGGTTATATGTGACCGCTATTCACTGTGCTGGTGATAAGTGTGCATTGAAAGCATAAAAAATCGTTTATACCATGCATAAAGTTAAACCAGGGCTAAGAAAAACGGTCAATTTTTCAACTTTTCATTTTTGACATAAAATGCACTTTTCTAGACGGGCTTTGTCCCAGGAATCTAGTGGTGTCATTTGTTTTCACATGCGATGTTCAGAAGTGCCTCTAATTCACAAAAATGCTTATGACGTCACCATGCCCTATGCATGTTGGAGCTTTTTTTTACAATTTGGGGATCAAAAATCAAAATAGAAAGTTGAAATTTGGGATATCTAATGTTCTAATAGAGCTTTAAAACATATATTCCGGTTTTTGGGAAATTCTCAAAATTTTGGATTTTATTAGCTGTTTTCCAAAAAATATAGTTTTTTGAATTTGTAGGGGTGAAAAACGCATTTTATGGAAAATCCGAGATCGCCATTTTAAAGAACTCGTTGATCTGCGTCTGTGCATGTCCTTAATTTGCAATTTGCTTTAAACCCTGATTTTTGGCGATTTTTTAAACATTTACCACTTTTTGACTAAAAACGTCATGTCACCAAAATCGACATATCTCAATTTTTTTTTTGGAATTTTTCTTAAAAATTGCACAGGAGACGTTAAATTGATGGGGGAGAAGGTATGTCAAGTTTCAAGTTGATAGCGTAAGCAGTTCATGAGTTATTCAAGAAAAACGGAGGGGGTCGGATCCGACCCCCCCCCCCCAGGCGGTCGCGGGTTAAGCGGAATCCGACCGGTGCACAAAGTATTAGCGACAACTGTAGCACGCTACATCTTTAACATTTAACGTAGAATCTTTTCGGCACGGCTTGGTCCGGCAGTCTCCCCCCCTCGCAGTCCGGTCACAGGCCTAGCCCTCCATTCACTCACCCATCGCTGCTACCGGGTGACGCACAGCTGAGCGGAGCGCTACTGCTGCGCTCCCCTCCCCTCTCATTATTCACCCCCCCCCCCCCCAGTCACCAGGCCCACCATCCCCACACATCACTTTTCTCCATCTCCCGCAACGAGCACTGTCCGTGGGAATAGCCGCAGTAGACACATCTGCGAGAAGACGATGCCGCCTACATCAGTACGAACCGTCGAGGCACAGCTGAGTCAACAAGCTACGTCAGGACCGCGGCCGGCGGCGGCGGCGAGCGAGCACGTTAAGGTACTCTGTCACTTGTCACGTACTCTGTCAGGTACCACAACAGCTGCACCGCGCTGAGTCACATGGTGGGAATGGCACAACCAGGAAGATCCTATGGCAAGCAAAAACGCAGTAGTTCCAGAGGTCTTCGCTATGGGCAGCCGTTAAACTCCCATTAAGACGCGCGCTTTTGGAGACAGCTACCGCAGGATGAACGATTCGAATCCCAACAAGTAACAGCTGGATCAGTAACACTGTCAACAGCTCGTGGACCCACGCCGAGGACAGATAACGGCTGGGAGCGCTGGATCAGCAAGATACGTCATCAAATCATGGAGCAGTGTAAAGGATGGATGCCGGCTGGAGCACACAGCCTCCTTTGTCGGGGTACAACAACCCAGGGTGAGTGACCCGGCAGAACGCCTTGAAGGTGACCTCCACAACAAGCCGCAAGCAATGACCTGTAGTTCCAGAGATCTCCGCAGAGGAAGAAGGCGCTGCGTTACGGCCACGCCCCGGTACGGTGGGCGGAGCAGGAGTGACGTCACAGGGGCGTTGGCGGCAGACGAAACGGAAGGAAACAAAAGTTTGAATAAAATGAAAATGAAGAATCAAAATTAAAACTCGAAAATCACAAACCTTTCGGGGATTGTTTTATGCCAGCGATTATTAAAATGATAAAGCACTCAACACCAAGACGATTCGACGGCCAAAAATTGCAGGCACAGAGGAGCAAGGTGACTAAACAGGACAGAGGGCGCCATCTTACAGCCCCACCCACCAGAAGAAGGCAGAGGAAGATGACGTCGCAAGGGCGTGGCAGTCACCCCTCCCCCCAACTATAAAAGGGTGCGCCACCCAACCAGAGGGGGAATCACAGTCGAGCAGCCGAGAGTCACAGTCTGCAGCCGGAGCCGGAGACGCCATCTGGAGGCCGCCGTCGGTCCGGGGTCACCCGCGAGAAGCCTCTTCAGTTCGACCGACCAGAGCCGGAGGACAACCGCCGACGCTTGTGACCACACTGAGAAGCGGAAGCGCAGAGAAACTCCAGAATGTGAGTGTTGTTGAAAAGTCTGCTCAATCCCTGATCCTTGCCCACCCCCCCCCCCCCCTCTGCCCAGCTTGCCGTGCCGTGACGACTGCCAAACATTTTCGGTTGCCATAAAATGCACTCTCAATTGGAATTGGAAAACTTAAATTACTTTGAACTTGTTGGTCCAGACACCCTAGTAGCATATTAGGATCTGAATTTCGAGGTCATGTCAGAGTCGCCAGCGAATCGTTATTGTCCGTTGGAATTCACGATTAGGCCGTGAGCGAAATCCTAAAATTTGAATAAGCAGCTCAGTGTCACGAACGCTGAAATTGATGACAGGATGCGTGACAACATTGAATATGTCATTGTCTTTGGTCAAACTGGTTCGTTCGATTTATTATAATCGGCGGTGGTCAAGTGCGATTTGAGGTTGGAATTCGTTTGTGAAATTAATGGTGTAGATTCGTGCTTAATTCACTAAAAGTTGCATTGCGAAATT